CTGCTCAGCCTGAATTGGAGGTGGTAAGCAATCTGAGGGTAATGGGGTCACGCCATAGAGGTAGAAATTTTTTCTAGAATCGGTTATATCATGCGTCATAGTCCAGGTGCCCAGCTCTTACTCAAGGCTCCAAGTGCCAGACCCGGGAAACTGTGTTGACCCACAGGCTAATTGAGTAGATATGGCTAAATAAACCAGCAGCGTCTGTACCAGATTGGACGGCTGCAAACAGCGTCGGTCCCAGAATGGGCGTCAGAATTAATCTCTGGGAACAGGACTCGCCAACACACCCGACAAGTGTGGCGTTTTAATGCCAAACTTGGTAGTTAGCTGAAAGCCCAAGCTAACTCCGCAGATGACTTTAAGGTGCCTAGTTTGTGGCATATGGATGGATGCAGCCTATCAACATTTATATCAAGGCAGGCAAAAAATCAGATTTTTTTAAATGGCACTCGACAAACTTTTTCGGTCTAACAACCCAGACAGATATCAGAATCAAGGTTTCATTGGAATATACAGAAAGCATTACTGTAAATACTGTATGAATTTGACCAGTTTGAACCCACCAGTTTCTTCATAATTAATTCTCAAATTTGCCGACATTATTTTGGAGACTCGGCCACGTCCGAGGTAGCAAGCTGACATTAAATGACGTGATCTTTCGGTAATAATCACCTTATGCACTCATCTCGAGCAGCTTCTCGTAATCGGTTAATCAATTCCTACTCAATTTGTACCGGTGTTCAGTAAGCCATTCGTTTAATGTGGCCTTGAGCTGTGCGTATCTTACATACGTGGTAGGAATGTATCCCTTCCTCGGCATTTATCTGGTGTCTGGGAAAGTGTCAGTTGTTGTGCAATGCTCTAAATACCCCTGGAAGGCTCAGCTGCAATTATCTCCAATTCTTGTTCCTCGGTGTGGACCCCGAATATCTATTGCCTTTCACTATCTTCCTAGCGCCAATCTCCGGTGCCTCTAGCCCTTTGTTGGCGTGAGTTGTTACAGCTTCTGCTATGTTACTGTAGCATTTCCTCAGAACTAATAGCATATCCGCAAATTCGTGAAAGTAGCTTCAAAGTAAGTCACAGTTTGACAAATTACTGTTATTATTGACAAAGGCTATCTACCTGTAACTATCTGTTAATGACAGAATATTTTCAATGGCGCGTTGAGTTTTCATCAAAAAATTGTAGAAGAGAACTTTTTAATATAAAAAATTTTGATAGTTTGAAGCAAAGATCGTAAATTTTCCTTTTTGAATGCTTAAGTATTTCCAATATGCTACCAATTAAACATGGGACAATTTCAAAATAATGTTTAATGGCAAAGTTGAAATTCGATTTTCAACTGTTAATATCTTCTTTTCTTTTCGAGAAAAATGTTTTCAATATTTTTCTCGTACTCTCCAAGTGAGCCCTTATTACCCCTTAAAAGGAATGACGCCAATTTTTAATAGCTCTGTCATATTTTTTTAATTAGCGTTTTCAATATTATTATAGTTATAGATATTTCAAAGTCTCATTCAATGTCAAATATTTAGTTCTATTCTCGAAAAACTATTTTCGTACTATTACCAAGTTAATTATGTTAACTCATTTATTATTTACCTTGAGGAAAACACGGTATTTCTTATCAAAAAAAATGAAGTAAATAATGGTGATTTATCGGGTTAGCAGCAGAAAACAATTAATTTAATTTTGTTAGTAGTTTGTAGTGTATTTTAATACATAATTCGTACCATATTTATTGTAGTGTCCTGTATGTCTTTGTATGAGTGTTAAAAAGTGTGATATCTTTGAATACAGTGATACTAATTTAGATAAATTATAACACACATATTAAGAAAGGGTTAGAAAAACGTAGAATTATTTAGGTAGGTACTTTGTATTTCATAAATTACCTTAACTCACCACGACTAAACTAAAACTAAATAATTACGTTTCACAGTAACCAAAATTTCGAATGGCAAATTAGCCTGAATGACAACGAAACACTCGATAAATATTGACTAAGACTTACTGCAAAATGTTATGAACAATCATTTTAACTATGCTGAAAGCGCGACAATAAATAACAGAGTCGTACTGATGTAATTAATTACATTGCAAATTCTGCGTCAATAACATTATTTTCAAACATGCCTCTTCTGAAAATTATTTAGGCGATTTACGTCTAATCATTGAAGAGTTTTCAATCCTCAATTGAAATTGAACAGAGAAAACTTTAACATTTGAACATAATAATGTGCGATCAGTCCATATCTTAAAGCCAATAAACATTGTGATAAACACATTGAACATTAATTAAATCGGTGTGACCTTCTAATGCATATCGTCCGTTAGACCTCTATAAAGGGGTCAAGGGAATTAAAATACTACATCACTGACGCAAAATTTGTGCAAAAATGTGTTTTTGTTTGTTCGTATTTACTTTCAGAAATATCCCAAATACGCACAAATTAATTTGTTTTATTGCCGATGGATTCCTTCATCGGTAAATAGGGTTTGGGAGCTAGGAACCAAAGGGGACAAAACATGATCGACTTCCGCAACAAGCAGAGGCTCTACTGCATGAATACCTTCTACAAAAAGCACCCGAAAAGAAAATGGACTTGGAAAATCCCCGATAACAGGATCAAAAATGAGTTAAACTATGTTCTAACATCGAACCCCCAATTATGCTCAGACGTGTCAATAATAAACCGCTTGGACACAGGCAGCGACCATTTAGTACATTTAGTACAGTTTATTAAGCGGAATGGGCGACATAGGTAGTCGTTTTTATGCTCATAAATGGGGGATTATGAACCGATTTGGTGCCACAGGCAAGTGAGGGCAATCATCTCGACTGTTACCCAGATAGCACAAAATATTACATATATATTTAGGAAATATTTATATGTTTGCTAAATATTTCAGATCAAAAGCAAGTATTTCTTAAATATTATTTTTTAAATATTTGTATCTAATATTTAATTAGCATGAAACAAATAACTTATTAATAATTTTCTTATTACGTAATACTTTTTGTAGCTATATATAACAACCTTAACACGCAAAAAGTTACTAATATATTATTTTTAATAAATGTGAACAAACTTTAGAACATATTATCTGAATTTTCATTGATCAATGAATAGTAAATATTTCAGAGCAAAAGGAAATATTTTTTAAATATTATTTAAATGTTATTTAGAAAATATTTGTTTCTAATATTTAATTAGCATGAAATAAATCCTCCACCGCAGCTTAGCCAAAACCCAGTTAATGTTACTGACTAGCTCCAGCTGTGTTTTTGCTTTGCAATTAACAGTACTTCTATTGTAAGCACAGGATTATAGAATATATTCAACAGGATAGGTCCGAAAATATCGCCCTGTACCACACTCTGTTCGGATATCTAGCCTGGCCATTACGCAGAGTTTTCAGTTATTTGGATCTTTCGATTTGATGCTATTTACGATGTTCAGCAGCTCTTACATTGCAGCAGTGCTGGACTGGCTTTTCCTGATTGGTGCCATATAGTTTAAGATCGATTTCGCAACAGACTCTTACAAAATGTTTTCCAAATACGTCCAGTAGACAGATTAAATTGAATTTAGTGGAGTCATGATTCTGAATCAGGGCCAATCACTGTCTTCCATTGACGCGGAGAACTCCCATTTTGCAGAAGTGTGTTATAAACTTGCAGTTATTCTATCTGAACCAGCAGCCTTTTTGGTCTTTAATTGAGATAGTGACCTAATGGGGACCGGAAATGACATTCATGACTTGTCACTACACGTCTGCCAAGACGTTAGATTAAAAAGAAGAGAACGAAAACATTGAAGCTGGGAAAGGAGAATCAAAGGTCGTAAATAATGCGAAGAGTGAAATTAACCTGTGCTGCTTTTGTAAAACTAAAATGCGCCCTAAGAAAACAGACATTCCAAATAAGTGTGTAAATCAGTAAAATGCAAAGTTTGTGACATATGCATTTTACCGGTGGAGTGACCAACAGACCAACCCTAGAGAAACAAGGAGAAGTAGAGGAAGGTCGCAAAAGCGATGGATGGATAATATCAGACCCGTAGAAACGGGGCACAACTAGCTCAAACTCGACAGGAATGGAAAAGATTCGGAAGCGCCTATGTCCAGGAGTGGACCGGATAAGAAGAAGATTTTGTCTGTATATACTAGAAAAATAATATTCCTACCTTGTAGCCATTATCATCCTTCGGATTATGAGATGCTGTCACCATAACACCACTGGCACACCCGTACTTTTTAACTGCAAATGGAATGAATGGTGTTGGAATAACATCACTAAACAGTCGCACTTTATACCCGGCGCTTACAAATATAGTAGCAGTTAATTCCGCCCATCTGAAAATGAATTACCACCAAAATCAATTTAAAGAAAATGAATAGAAAATATGGTAAAAATTATATTGAGTATATCCTACTAGATTAATCTACTGACCTCTTACTGTTATGTCTTCCATCATAGCCAACAACAATACCGTTTCCCTTGAGAACGTCACTCTTATATTGCTCCAAGTATTTGATGAATCCTTGCCCAGTTTGAATTATAACTAAATCATTCATGCAAGAATAACCTGCACTCATTTTACCTCTAAGTCCGGCAGTACCTATAATAATATACTCGTAATAATAAGTACCTACTTAGTAAGCGTTTCAACTCAAATTCGTACCAAAGGATAATCTACTGAGTAACTTCTGGGTTAATGCTTTTGTATTATTTTCGTCAACCAATTTTGAAATTGCCGCCCTGGTATCTGGATTGCGATCCCATTCTAACCATTCCTGCACTCTTGCTTGAAGTGGTTCTTCTGATTTACAATTTACTGCCATTTGAAAGCTATGTGGCTACCTAAAATGTAAAGTCATAAATTAATTTTAATATAAACTATTCGTTCTTCCCACTGTTGCTTGTTATAGTTTGTGTAGACAAAGGAAACAACTAATTTTTGGAATAGAAGAAGTGATTACCAAATAAGTCTATTGGAAAATTTTTATAAGGTCCGTCTCACAAATATACAGTCATGGAAACAGATCTTGGTCTAGTAAGTATTTACTTATGGAATAGGTAACATTTTCTACTTATACCGTACACGTTCAATGGTAACCTACATTTTGCTTCTTATATATTTCGACGAAAATTATAAGTTTAATTCATTTTCCTGGAACGGTGCGAGCATTACCTACTTTGGCAAAAAATAACTGGTATTCGATTCAACCCATACTTGTTTCTTTCTTTTTCTGTTCTTGTACGATATTCCGCACAAGAGTATCCACAATATTCCAAATATCCTGGCTAATAAGCATGCACTCCACGCAATTATGGCTAGTTAATGTCACTCCCACTGCCTTTTATGCTGCGTCTATAAGAGTTTCCACTTTTCGCAGTGAAGTGGTTTGTGTCTTCAACCACCTGGCATCTTCGCCTCACCTCGCCATCGTTGAGGTGGAAGCAATTCCGTTAGCTATTGCTTGCCGTACTTGCGTCCTAGATACTTTGAAAGATCTGGTGTCAATAGCCGTGTCCATATTCCATTTTCAGTTTCCTTTGCCAATTTTCGCTGCCATTCGGTAACGATCTCCCAGTCGGTGCTACTCTCATTCCTTTGGCAATTTGATACTGGAGGCATCAATTTTTAATTTGGATGTCAATGGGTGGAATTCCGGCCAGTACCAATGCAGCTCCGTAGATACAGTTCGAAACCTGCAGCATATCCTAAACGCTACCCTACGTAGTACCCCTGCGACGAGTCTAGTATTTCTCGCAATTGATGGCTTGGCTCCATCAACGGCAGATGGCGGCCTCCTGCGCTCCTTATAGGCGTTGAATACAGGAAAATCGAATGTTCCACGTTTGCTAAAGTCTTCCTGTTGGCTGATTTTGGTCTGCCCAGGTTCGGCATAGGCATGGGTAACACAGTGGATGTTCAGGTGTTCACACAGCGACACCGATACAGCTTGCCGTATTGTTACAACGACACAGCTCTCCTCACTTTTTATATGTTGGGAAACAACAACAGAAGACGCTGTGCCATGATCTCTAGTGGTTCGTAAGTTCGCTAGTAGGTTCGCCAACGGTGTTTTTAAGCCGTGCAGCACATTGAATTATTTTTCTTTGGTTTTACTGAAGAGAGACTATGACAGACGCCGGCTGCGTATTTTTAATGAATGGAATGAATGAAGTCGCAACATATTTTTTCTTGTAAAGCCTATTTGTCTCACAAGTATCTGTGATTTTGTTACATGTAATTTGGTTTCGAAGCTGCTGGGTCAGCTGTAAATTATGACCGAATGACTTTTGTTCCTTTATGTATGCAAGGGTTGCAAAATCATTTATATTAGTTTCTTGGCCTTCTTCGCCGATTATTTTTCATGCAATCTGGTAGTAATAAAAAGGCAGGTATTTGCCTTTTTGCTTTGTTGAACTATCGAAATTTCAGATGTTGTACTTTAAGTTCTACTTAGTCCAAAACTTAAAATTCAACCATCAGATATTATTTTATCCATTCGAATACGAGTGAGTTTTGCTCAAGAATAAAGTACCACTATTTTTCACACTATCGAACATTGTTATTAAGAAAAGTTGATCAGAACTGCAAACTACCTTCCAATATGAAATTACGTCCAATTATATGAAAAAAATTGATATTTTCTGACATACCTCGGATACAACTGAAAATTTTTTAAATCTGACAATTGTATTTTAGATTTTAAAACATGCAGAACTTTTTATGAAGAGTAACTTTTTTTCGTAAAATTAATAATAAAAAGGTCCCCACATCAAACCAACCAACCAACCGACTTAAACAAACAAAATTAACAAAACTTGATGTTCATCATAGGTAGGTACAATCAGATATCTGAACGAACTTTCCAACTCTAATCAACTTGTCTTAATAATAATTTTCGATATTGTCAAAATTAAAAGTGCTTTATTCTTGAGCAAAATTCATCTTTTCTTATTTTTGCACCCAGCGGAAGTTATAATTAAGAATAAGTTTCCTCAAAATTAGTCATAAAAAGTTTCCCATATGGTGCAAACTCAAGTAGACGACACTGTATATTACATGTAATAATGACGGTTTGAAAATGAGGTAAAATGTGGGACTTTCTTCATTCATGCGTCTTTATAATGTAAATAATCCCTGCCGAGAGGATTGGAAACCATATAGTAACTGCGCGTGGCCTTCACAAACTGCAATCAGTGTTAACGTTAAATGTTAAGTGTGGTTGAAAGTGCCGTGTCGTAAAAGGCCAAGTGTCGCGGCACACGGACACAGAGACCAGCATCAACACACAAGTGTCTTAAGACACAGTATTACCCAGCCTTATTTCGGCACAATTCTGCTTAGTTAGTGCAATTACAGACTTTTCAGCTTTGATGCCTAATGCCACCACATGTTCCTTCATTTCACAGTTGTGATCGAATACTACTCCAAGAAATTTCAACCGCGCTTTTGTATCTATTGATTCATTTTCCAGTTGCAAAGTGGCTCTTCTAAATTTCCTGTCGCCATAGAGTATTACGGATCCTGTCTTCTCTGTTGTCAGTTTCAAGCCCTGTGGAYCTCCACCGCAGCTTAGCCAAAACCCAGTTAATGTTACTGACTAGCTCCAGCTGTGTTTTTGCTTTGCAATTAACAGTACTTCTATTGTAAGCACAGGATTATAGAATATATTCAACAGGATAGGTCCSAAAATATCGCCCTGTRCCACACTCTGTTCGGATATCTAGCCTGGCCATTACGCRGAGTTTTCAGTTATTTGGATCTTTCGATTTGATGCTATTTACGATGTTCAGCAGCTCTTACATTGCAGCAGTGCTGGACTGGCTTTTCCTGATTGGTGCCATATAGTTTAAGATCGATTTCGCAACAGACTCTTACAAAATGTTTTCCAAATACGTCCAGTAGACAGATTAAATTGAATTTAGTGAGGAGTCATGATTCTGAATCAGGGCCAATCACTGTCTTCCATTGACGCGGAGAACTCCCATTTTGCAGAAGTGTGTTATAAACTTGCAGTAGGGTGTCAAGTTCCAATAGAGCTGCAGCCTATACCACCTCTGGCGTTATTCTATCTGAACCAGCAGCCTTTTTGGTCTTTAATTGAGATAGTRCTGCTCAGCCTGAATTGGAGGTGGTAAGCAATCTGAGGGTAATGGGGTCACGCCATAGAGGTAGAAATTTTTTCTAGAATCGGTTATATCATGCGTCATAGTCCAGGTGCCCAGCTCTTACTCAAGGCTCCAAGTGCCAGACCCGGGAAACTGTGTTGACCCACAGGCTAATTGAGTAGATATGGCTAAATAAACCAGCAGCGTCTGTACCAGATTGGACGGCTGCAAACAGCGTCGGTCCCAGAATGGGCGTCAGAATTAATCTCTGGGAACAGGACTCGCCAACACACCCGACAAGTGTGGCGTTTTAATGCCAAACTTGGTAGTTAGCTGAAAGCCCAAGCTAACTCCGCAGATGACTTTAAGGTGCCTAGTTTGTGGCATATGGATGGATGCAGCCTATCAACATTTATATCAAGGCAGGCAAAAAATCAGATTTTTTTAAATGGCACTCGACAAACTTTTTCGGTCTAACAACCCAGACAGATATCAGAATCAAGGTTTCATTGGAATATACAGAAAGCATTACTGTAAATACTGTATGAATTTGACCAGTTTGAACCCACCAGTTTCTTCATAATTAATTCTCAAATTTGCCGACATTATTTTGGAGACTCGGCCACGTCCGAGGTAGCAAGCTGACATTAAATGACGTGATCTTTCGGTAATAATCACCTTATGCACTCATCTCGAGCAGCTTCTCGTAATCGGTTAATCAATTCCTACTCAATTTGTACCGGTGTTCAGTAAGCCATTCGTTTAATGTGGCCTTGAGCTGTGCGTATCTTACATACGTGGTAGGAATGTATCCCTTCCTCGGCATTTATCTGGTGTCTGGGAAAGTGTCAGTTGTTGTGCAATGCTCTAAATACCCCTGGAAGGCTCAGCTGCAATTATCTCCAATTCTTGTTCCTCGGTGTGGACCCCGAATATCTATTGCCTTTCACTATCTTCCTAGCGCCAATCTCCGGTGCCTCTAGCCCTTTGTTGGCGTGAGTTGTTACAGCTTCTGCTATGTTACTGTAGCATTTCCTCAGAACTAATAGCATATCCGCAAATTCGTGAAAGTAGCTTCAAAGTAAGTCACAGTTTGACAAATTACTGTTATTATTGACAAAGGCTATCTACCTGTAACTATCTGTTAATGACAGAATATTTTCAATGGCGCGTTGAGTTTTCATCAAAAAATTGTAGAAGAGAACTTTTTAATATAAAAAATTTTGATAGTTTGAAGCAAAGATCGTAAATTTTCCTTTTTGAATGCTTAAGTATTTCCAATATGCTACCAATTAAACATGGGACAATTTCAAAATAATGTTTAATGGCAAAGTTGAAATTCGATTTTCAACTGTTAATATCTTCTTTTCTTTTCGAGAAAAATGTTTTCAATATTTTTCTCGTACTCTCCAAGTGAGCCCTTATTACCCCTTAAAAGGAATGACGCCAATTTTTAATAGCTCTGTCATATTTTTTTAATTAGCGTTTTCAATATTATTATAGTTATAGATATTTCAAAGTCTCATTCAATGTCAAATATTTAGTTCTATTCTCGAAAAACTATTTTCGTACTATTACCAAGTTAATTATGTTAACTCATTTATTATTTACCTTGAGGAAAACACGGTATTTCTTATCAAAAAAAATGAAGTAAATAATGGTGATTTATCGGGTTAGCAGCAGAAAACAATTAATTTAATTTTGTTAGTAGTTTGTAGTGTATTTTAATACATAATTCGTACCATATTTATTGTAGTGTCCTGTATGTCTTTGTATGAGTGTTAAAAAGTGTGATATCTTTGAATACAGTGATACTAATTTAGATAAATTATAACACACATATTAAGAAAGGGTTAGAAAAACGTAGAATTATTTAGGTAGGTACTTTGTATTTCATAAATTACCTTAACTCACCACGACTAAACTAAAACTAAATAATTACGTTTCACAGTAACCAAAATTTCGAATGGCAAATTAGCCTGAATGACAACGAAACACTCGATAAATATTGACTAAGACTTACTGCAAAATGTTATGAACAATCATTTTAACTATGCTGAAAGCGCGACAATAAATAACAGAGTCGTACTGATGTAATTAATTACATTGCAAATTCTGCGTCAATAACATTATTTTCAAACATGCCTCTTCTGAAAATTATTTAGGCGATTTACGTCTAATCATTGAAGAGTTTTCAATCCTCAATTGAAATTGAACAGAGAAAACTTTAACATTTGAACATAATAATGTGCGATCAGTCCATATCTTAAAGCCAATAAACATTGTGATAAACACATTGAACATTAATTAAATCGGTGTGACCTTCTAATGCATATCGTCCGTTAGACCTCTATAAAGGGGTCAAGGGAATTAAAATACTACATCACTGACGCAAAATTTGTGCAAAAATGTGTTTTTGTTTGTTCGTATTTACTTTCAGAAATTTGGCAAAGCCGTTAATTGGTATAATCAATGAATGCTGACAATTGTCTAAAGCACAAAAATTGTACAAGTATTAGTAAGCACACCAGACGTGCATGTAAAAATTTTGCATCCTCAACATATCTGTAAAGAAGCGTTTTTATTAAATGCCTTAGGAAATAGCAAAAACATATTCCAGGAAAAACAACTTCAAGTGAACATTGGAAAATCGGTGACTAAAAGATAGGTATGTGCAAAATATATCTGATTTTACTTTTATTTTATTTATATTATTACTAAGAAATGAAACAAAATGGTCAAAATTCCATTGAGAAAATCAGTAATTTTTCGCACTGACAAATATCCATCTTCCAGTTATAATTATATTTTACATATATTTAGGGAATAAATGGTCCTGAGAAAACAATTATAATCTTTTAGGCGGTATTGAATGGAAGAATGCGTTATGTTATTTGTTTAATGCACAAAATTATGAACAAATGTGTTATGAACAGATATTAAAATACTATTAAAACATTTCAAAGAAGAAATACAAGTTAATTTTGTCACAAGCAATAGACAAATAAATAATTATTCTACTAGGCCTATTAAACCTCACCGAGCCTGTAAATTACGTGATTAACACTCACATTTCAGCTCCTATCACACAATCGCGAGCTCCTATTGCTATTAATATTTACAAATAGATTTATATTGTAATTAAAAAAAAAAAACTTTTTGAAATATCTGATATGCACAACTTTGTACCTAAATAAATAGAATTGATGATCTTGTGAAAGGCAGAACATGTGATCTTAAATTGAAAAGTGTTGTTTGGGCAAGGGCTAAAGAGGTGAAGGTAAAGTTTAAAATAAATATAAACATATCACTCCAATTCACAGTTCAGTATGATTTTTCCTAGGGTATTGAAATTTTACAGTCAACATTTTGAAATTCAACATTTTCAAAATGTAAATGATAGTCTACTTCTTTAGAACTAGGAACTTGTCCTAAGACATAGGTGAGAAGCTTGAACCTTGAATCATCCATTCATAAAATTTGAAATTTATTACAAAAAAGTTCTGGTTCAGTTAATACGTTCTGGGTCCATGTGTCAATCGTCGATTTAACAATTTCTGTTACATGATTGCCTTGAGAGCGGCTTATCCACCCACAAAAGTAAGTATTTTAATATGGCATATTTATTTAGAGAACTCATTAATAGAATGTTCGAATGTTCTGTTATAAAATTGGGCATTTAAAACAGAAAAACATTTTTTTTTTCGATAATATGGACTTGTACCTCGGTCCTTGAATTTTATTTGTGCGTTGCGCTATAGCCGTAAAGAAAAAAATTCTCAACAGTTTCACCTTAGATGTCGAGCCAAATGCGGTGAGATTGATACTATTGCAGTACGAACGACATAGAACACCTCTGAACGGCTTCTAAAGATCTGCATTAAAAATAAGACGGCGAAAAAGGAAATGGTTTGACGGAGAATGCGAGGAAGCGCTAAAGATAAAAACTAAAAAACGACTGACAATGCTGGCAAACCGTACAGAAGAGAACAAGGACGAATTTTACAAGACAAGAATAGAGACGATACGATTGCTTAGAACTAAAAGAAGAATAACCTGGAACAACAAATTCGGAAATAGACAGAAATAGAGATATGAATCAAGTTCGGAAATTCTATAGGGAAGTAAACCGAGTAAGAAAAGGTTGAAGTGTTGCAGAATGAAAAGCTATGTTAAATGTACTTTCAGGATCGAGTTACTAAATTTTGAGAGTGAGGCAGAAAAAGAAAACATTATCATCAGTGTAGATTTCGTGCTGGAAGGTCAACAATAGATCAAATATTTTCGATCACGCAAATCTGAGAAAATAACTGACAGTTCAATCGGGATATTCAACAAATGTGGGTAAGGGGCGAAGGCTAATAACAGCTATAAAGGCGAGCCCAAATGTCAACCTCAACTGCACGTGGTGCCCACTGCTAAAAACTAACGAGGCTCTGACGACCGAGATACGGCGTAATATCCGTTTCACCCTTAAGTAAATGTAATTCCCACTCACCAACACGCCTGGCAAGCGTGGTGTTTTAATGCCAACTCCTTTCATAAATGGATATGTCGAAAATTAAAACATGTATACCCCAGGCGGGTAGAGGTGAAAACCTGGAATCTCGCACTGATACTTCAGTCAGCCCCGTGGATTCTAGGGGGGGGGGGGCAAACTTTCGATAGATGGTAAGAGAAGAAGAAGCAAACTTGCTTGAAGAGACCCTTTACATGGGGACGCACAATATCCGCACCATAAGGCTGGAAGAACATCTCAGCGGCCTAGAACACGAACTGCAGTACATAAAGTGGGATGTCATAGGGATCAGCAATACAAGACTGAGCGGCGAAGCGGTCACTATTCTCAAATCTGGACATTTACTGTTCCAAAAGAACTCGGACACAAACTCAGATATCAAAGGCATTGCTTTACTGGTTCACAAAAAGTAGAAACACCTGCTTACAAAGACAGGAGCCGCGTTAAACAGAGTAATTTATGTAATAATCAAGATCAACGCAATGTTTAGTATCCAAATCATCCAAGCATATGCACCCACTTCTGCCTCCTCAGACGAAGAAATCGAAGAATTCTATAAAGATCGAACAACTGCAAAGAGCGCAGAAAACCCCAAAATCTGTGTGATAATAGGCGATTTCAACGTGAAGATTCGAGCCAGATTGCCGATGGATTCCTTCACCGGTAAATAGGGTTTGGGAGCTAGGAACCAAAGGGGACAAACCATAATCGACTTCCGCAACAAGCAGAGGCTCTACTGCATGAATACCTTCTACAAAAAGCACCCGAAAAGAAAATGGACTTGGAAAATCCCCGATAACAGGATCAAAAATGAGTTAAACCATGTTCTAACATCGAACCCCCAATTATGCTCAGACGTGTCAATAATAAACCGCTTGGACACAGGCAGCGACCACAGATGAGTCAGAACCAGGATCCAGACATCGACACCAGAGAAAACCTCTAGTAGAAAGAAAGATACGGCCAACCACAAGTGAACTACGAGAGAAAGCAGAAGAATTCAGTAAGCAAATTGACAAGAAGCTACACCCAATTGAAGATACGCGAAACATGGAACTAAACGCACTCGCAACGAAGATCACCTCTAGTATTAAAAGCGCAGTGCGGAAAGTATGTACTTTCCAAAGTAAGAAACATCCGAAATTCAGTTTAGAAATAGAACAACTCATTGAAGAACGAAGGAAAACCGACAAAAACTCACTAAGGTATGGGGATCTGAATAAGATCGTGAAGAAGGCCATCAAGAAAGATCAGAGAGCTTATAATGAACAACATACAGAAGAAGAAAACATGATAGTTCTCCGTTCCTAGAAATCTGAAGGTAAAATTATTATTTAGAAGATAAAAAACGATCAAGGACTCATTGAGAGTGACAGAGGAAAGATAGCAGAAATTATTGAGATATTCTATCGACGACTGTCCATCGGTGGACAACCAAATCAAGAAGGCCAAATTCATCAGCCAGTCCTAAACGTAGGATCAGAGGAATTAGCGCCCATTGATGGGGAAGAACTAGTGGCAGCGCTAAAACACCTGAAGAACTTCAAAGCCCCGGGAGTAGACCAGAATACCAGTGATATGTTGAAGGCCGGCGGAGAGACACTCAGGAATGCACTCCTGATCTTACTTAATAAATGTCTAGAAAAAGAAAAAATCCCGAACTCTTAGAAAACGTAAAAGTCATCCTATGATTCAAGAAAAACGATTACACAATCTAGAGAATTTCATTCCCATCAGCATGTTATCCATCCTCTACAAAGTACTAACTAAAATAATAACGAACCGCCTGAGCTATAAATTCTACTTTTACCAGCCAGTCGAACAGGCGGGTTTCTTCAGAAAGGGGTACATTTACGAATAACATGATCATATACAAGCAGTACGCTCGTTAGTAGAAAAATGCACGGAATACAACATCGCACTGCACATGGCCTTCGTCGACTATCAGCTTTCGATTCGATCGAAATCTGGGCAATACTGGATGCGATGAATAACGCTCGCATAGATTACAGATACTGGAACATCATACGATATATCTACAAACATGCCACCATGCACAAAAAAATTGAAGACAAATGGATTACTGCAAAAGTCGCAGTACAGCGAGGTGTCAGGCAAGGGGATACAATCTCACCACAGTTCTTCACCATAGCAATGGAGAACGCATTTAAATGCCTATCATAGGATCAGAGAGTCATAGTAAGGAATTTAAGTACCTGGGTATTTATGAATGACCGTCTAGTAGAAAAATATGTCGTCTCAGCACGAATAGTGGTGGGAAAAGGGGCGTTATAGCCTCTCACAACAATATTGAAATCTAATATTTAAGAGATAATCCATACTAACTTCCTACAGGTCAATAATTCGTCCGGTTCTTGTGTTTGAAAGAAAAGTGCTCAGAATGATATTTGGACCCAATACAGATAAAACAACAGGAGTGTGGAAAAGACGCCACAATGCTGAATTCACGACAATCTATGGCAGTGAAAAGATAGTCAGGCACATAAAAGCTAACCGAATAAGATGGGCACCTCATGTAGAAAGATCAGAGGGCAACAAACAGGTTGATAAAAACAGTATTCCTTGACATACCAGATGGCAGAAGATCAATAGGTAGATCCATAAATAGATGAAAGGATGCCTGTCGCAGCAGTTCTATCTAGGATGGGAGTCCAGCGATGACAAGTGAATCTCACAAGATCGTAGGAGATGGAGACCAATAGTGGCTGTGGCTAAGACTCACTCAGAGTTGGAAAGCCAGGAAAGAAGAAGAATATTAAAAATTTATCTGGACAGTCATGAGCAAGGCATATGTTACAATTCTTATGAAAATTATACTATAAAAAACGTTTTCGAAAGCTGATTAAAATGGCCTTGCGAGTATACCTTACCACCTTCTTTCATGCATTTTGGCATTTCTCAGCTACATCTTTAGAATCTCTATAGAGTAGCGTCTCACCCATATAATTTTCACTTTATGTCGTATTAATGTCGTAATGTTAATGAAGCAGATTATCTTTAAATCGTTGTTGCATAATTTCCGATATAGTTTTTTGCAAATATTTCAGTTTTTGATAAGAAGATGCAAATAGCTCCATTGTTTGCTACTTTTCCTCTACTCCTAAAACACCACCAAACCACACCCCTAAAGGAATGACGCCCATTTTGGATGCCCCTGTATATCTAACTGTATTGGTTTTCCTATTTAACTTTTATGTTTTTAACTCAAATGTAAATTTCGTTTTGCACTGAAATTCTTATGGTTTCAAAGAAAAAAAGGACTCATCAAATTGTGCATGCAAAACTCTCCGCAGGGACGGCTATGTTTATCTTTGGCACAGGAAGCTATTTTGTTTACAACGAATATAAAAACCAGTTGGATCGAGAACTGGAAACTTCTACAAAATTGCTAATAGTAAATAAACTGCAATCGAAGAACAAAGTAAAGCAATGAGTCATCCGAAGGGTGAACTAGCAAACGATTATATAATAATGTAAGTTCTGGAGCTGGGTGGGTTTTGAATGTGATAAAAGCCTTAATATCGCAAGTTTTTTCAAAAAGCGAAACATTTAGTACAGTTTATTAAGCGGAACGGGTGACATAGGTAGTCGTTTTTATGCTCATAAATGG